CTTAAAATATTGTTGCAAATGCTCAATCCGTGAAAGTATCTCGTTCTAATAATATATATATATATATAAAATATATTTTTAAAAAAAAAAAATACTAGTTAGGAAAAAAAAGTGCTTTAACCAAACAAAAAAATGGTTTAGTTAAACAAAAAAAAATACTGTTGCTCAAATAATCAAATTTTTTTCAAAAAAAAAAGTTCTTTTTTTTTTTTTAATTAGGATGTTAGTATCCTTTTTTTTTTTTTTAATTAGGATGTTAGCATCCTTTTTTTTTTAATTAGGATGTTAGAACCTAATGCCCTAATTAAAAAAAAAAGGGACTAAAATATTCTAATTTAAAAAAAAAAGGATTCTAATATCCTAATTTAAAAAAAAGGATCCTAATTAAACCAAAAAAAAAGATTCTGATTTAAAAAATTGCATTCCAAAACCGTATTTTAATTAAGAGGAGATGTATGTGCATAAATCGTCTTGAAACAACGAAGCAATGATTAGAGATTCTGAAAGTAAATACAGTGATTAATAATAAAGAACATATAATGATGCTATGAATATGATTTTAAAAATGATATCGAGTTAATTGAAAAAAATCCCAGTAATAATAAAAAAGCACTCTTAAAAAAAACAATGAAAAAAAGTAATGCATCTTAAAAAAAAAAAAATATTGGTACCAATTCCACTTTGTTAGAATATATATTTCATGCAATTCCAACTAAACTTTCAAAAGATCCAAAACCGTAATCATTACAGGTCCCACAAAGACCACCCAAATCGTCCCGGTATTTTAGATGTGTGCAATTTGCAAGCCGGCCCATGAAAGAGGTTTTTTCATCCCATTTGGGAAGGTTTGCTAGAATTTTTTCCACAGAGAAGCCTTGTTGTCATGTAAATAAAGAATGGGTAAGTTAGTTTTTGAGTCTATCTTATAAGAGCTCATTGTAACATTATCTTTGTCTAAAAAAAATATTTCGAATTGTTTTTCTTTAAATTCTGCCATTAATTTGATAGTTTTTTTTGGTATTTCTGTTGGTGGTGCACCAGCACCATAGAGACATGCATGCTTCCTTGCTTTGTATATTGTTTTTAGTATTACCTACAATATATTTTTAATAATTAATAGTTATTGGATGCGAAGCATCCAATAACTGTAGTATTCGGCACATTGACATTGATTAAATAGTGATCAGCTGATCACTATTTAATGAGTGTCAGGTGATGAATACGAAGACGTATTTGGCCCAGAGTCTGGCATATTAAATTTCAGAATTCTGGGCCAGATACGGAAGTTATTGGTGCGTAGCAGCCAATAATGGTTTTATCCGGTAGATGACGACGATCAGACAACTTATCATTCTTATAAATATAATTAGACTTTTTGTTTTCTTTTTTTACTTCTTGTAAGCAAAATGCTAAAAGCGAAGGTCCGAATATAGAATTTTTTTTTTAAGAAAAAAATATAAATAAATAATAAATATTTTAAATTATTTTTTTTATAGTTAGATACTGTATATTACAAACCATCCCAAGAAGAAATTCTTGCAACAAGAACTGATGTTATTCCAGCAAATACGAGAAAGGCTATTGACAAATGGGTCCAAATTTTAAAAAATTGGCGTCAAACAGTTGGTTATAATTATGGAATTGAAACAATTGATAACAAAAACCAATTAGAAATAGAAATGATAGAATTTATATTAGGAATACGACAAGTTAAAAATTCGGCTGAATATGCCCCTTCTTCTCTTATTAATTGTATAAACTTACTAAGTTTATACCTTCTTAATCATCCTGATGGAAATTACCAATTCACTTTGTCGAATAAGAAGGAATTCAGATTATTATGGTTTACATTAAATGGAAAGTTGAAAAAATTAAAAAAATCTGGAAATATTGTAAAGCATCATAACAATTTAACGGATGAAGAAGTTCAACAAATATTTCAACATAAGTCGATTTCTATTAATGATCCTCAAGGTTTACAATATCGCATTTTTATGTGGTGTTGTTTATTGTTTCAGCCTAGAGGTGGCGAACACTATTCAATTAAAATATCTCAGTTTGTTTTTACTGCGGATGGAGGGTTACGATTTACTAAATATTCCCAAAAGAATGATCAAGGAGATATTGAAAGTAATAATACGGGTTTAATAATCCCTGTACCACCTGATCCTGTAGATTTTCAAGGCCCTATTTATGATTTGAAGCTTTACATTTCTAAACGTCCTGAAAATTGTCAAACTCCTTATTTACATCTTCGAATTAACAATAAATTTGCATGCAAGTATTTTTAAATTATGTATTTATATTAAATTATAATTGCACTTACATTGTTAATTCAATTTAGATGATCCAGAAGAATGGTATTGTGATAACTGACTTGGTGAAAAAATATGTCAATCTTTTATGAAAAATATCTGCAACATTGTTGGTATTGATACCAAAAACCGTAGTATTACCAACCATTCTGGGCGATCAACTTCGATTACTGCTTTATTTAGACAAGGGATTCCTATGGTAATAACAATGGCAATTACAGGCCATAAAAGTGAGTCCTCTTATCGTATTTATGCAAGACCTTCTGGAAAGGATAAGGAAGATGCATTATCAAGCTTGATCAACAATATTGAGCTACCCTTAAAACAAGGTGATGTAAGTATTACAGTATTACATATATCATATTGCAATTTAATTTAATATAACTTATAAAAAAAAATTTAAAATTTTATAAAACCAGAATCGTATTGAAAACTTAACTGCTACTCAAGATAATATGCAAGATGATCAAGCCAAACTTTTAGAATCAAAGGTATAGATTTATAAATTATTAATTTTTTAAAATAATATTTGTTTAATTTTTTTTTTATTTTAGGCTAATTTGAATTCGGCATCAAGATTAGCTAATAAAGTATTAAATGAATTGGCCAGAAAATGGAAATCTGTAACAAAGCCTTTTCGTACACCACTAAAAAGTCTCTCTCAATCATCTGAATGGCAAGAATTTCAATCATCAGAATAGCAAAAATTATATGAACATAGTTATCAAACTTCAGAAGATAGAATGGATGGAAATATGATTGTAAAAAATTATTATATTACTGCAGATAATGTTACAATCAATTAACATATTATTTAAATAGATGGTATCAATATATAATTTTAAATAATATGTAAAAAGTTACATTTTTAAATATATTAAATATTTGCATTTTATCAAAATTCTAATTTGCCGAATAATAAAAACTGCCGAATAATAACAACTGCTGAATAATAACAACTGCCGAATAATAAATTTATTTAGTAGTCTGATCATAGTCATCTACCGGATAATAAAACTTATCTACCAGAGCCGAATGATCTGCATACTTGACCAGAATTAGATTATTTTGAAAGCTTTGTATCCAATTTTTCATATTTTATTGGTTACAAATATTAGTAGATTTGATTAAATATATAAATTAAAAAATTGATTATAAATATTTTAATTAGTTTCAACAGTAGTTTTACCAGCATTCACCAATTTCATCTGCAACTCTAGTTAAGAAACTGTACGTTAAACAAAATTTCGTGATGTGCATAAAAAAATTTGTATATCAATAATCTACAATCACTTAATTTTCTTATGATCGAATAAATTAATGAGTATAGATTGAAGTTCAATTAAGATAAACTTATCAAAATGAAGTTCAAAATGAATAATAGGAATAGTTTTTTTGTTTTTGCTGAATAGTAAATAGAAACACTTCTGGCAATATCGATTTATGCGAAATTTCTACCAAAGAGCATTTGCCAATTTTTCAATAAATCACAGTGTGTCCAGTTGTTTTATTTAGATAGCAAAAATAATAAGCTAAAATAATAATTAAAAAAAGAATTGCACTCTACTCTTTTTATTAACGCTAAGCATCTTAATAAATCACATGACTTAACGGACCCACGGGTCCGTATTTTTTGATTGGATTAATATAAGAAACATTTATAAAAACTATATAACTTAGCACAGAACAATTCCGATAGATATCTAAATAAGTAAAATTCAATTTAATTTATTAATTCACTTTTTTAAGTTTTAGTTGAAATTTATTTAATTGCATTGTTTGCTAACGAATAAATATTAAATTGAGAAAATTCCTGGTGCTGATTACAAATCTGAAATTTATATTTTATATTCTTGTCAGAGCAAGGATCCTGTGATTTGTATTATCATTTTCTTAAGTTTAAATGGATAATTGTTGTCGAATTTTTCACAATTAAATAAAATTAAATTACTGAACATTTAATTTGAAAAAAAATCGTTATCATTATTGAAAAAAGAAAACACAATTAATAAATTGACTATACAATAAGAATCAATAAATTATTCCAGGGTAAAATTAAAAACTAATATAAATTCGAGTGTACAGTCTGAGAAAAAAATTTTAGCTAATTATTGTATAACTTTGATAATAATTATTTTATTTAATTGCTTTAACATGTGTACTTCCAAAAATAAGTTGCCAATAAAGTGCAATTACATTCAAATAAAAAAAAATTAGAACTCAATCAGTAATCAAAAAATGAAAGGAAATTATTTTAGCATTCAAATTCAATTTAATTGTATAAGTTAGATTTTTTATGAACAAATTAATAAAGAAAATTCCAGCTACGTTATGACTTTAATATTGTAAAATGTCATAAAAAAATTTCGAGTAGTATGCTTCGAGAGTTTTGTTTAATTTTTTTTTATTTTTTTATGTTTCTTATTATAAAGCTCAGCAGCTTTTGAATCGTCTCTTTCAACACCGATTCCATCTTGGTAGCATATTATAAGCATATCTCTGGCTTTTTTACTGAATTCTGAATTGCTTTGAAAAACTTCATTAAAGTATTAAAAAGCCTGAATAGTTTTATCTTTTATATCCTTTCCAAAAAATAAATTTTCTTTTATATATATCATTGCTAACAATAATAGCATGACCGAAGTTCTAATTATACACAAAATTATATATATTGAAATCATATGACAGAAGGCATGCCATTTGACAAAAAAGAAAAGGAAACGTCTATTTTGTTTGAAATTTTACCTGGTCATTCTTTCGGTTGTAAAGTAAGTAATTAAAAAAAATCCATCTCACAGATCTCTCGATCTATGAAGTTTTATATATGGCATAGACTTTTATATTAATGTACTTATGCTGTCATGAATTCCTTTTTTTTTTTTTTTTTTTAAACTAAAATT